CTCCTCTATCCTTGTAATTTTCCAGACAAGAAATACTGGAGTGGGTTGCCATTTCCTTCTCCAAATAATACTACTAGTCCTAAATAATAAACAACTCAATGTAACTGCCTACAGCTACCAATACTAAATCCTATGACTCCTAATTTGAAAAGCAAGTTTAACCAGGAGATCCCAATGATCTAGTAAACTTCTATTAAATCTACTGTTATGAAGGTGCTGTACAGAACATCTGGTTTTCTTAAAGTTGAGGATGAGGAGAGAGTGTTTTCATAGTAAATTTGATAACATATTTTTCTTTTAACGATACTAACAAGGTACAACCTCAATCATTTCATGTAACCCAGTGGTCTGCATGATCTATGTGAAAGCCAAGCAGGAATAATAATCTGGGGTTCACCCCTCCTCTGCCCTTCCACCCCTGCCAAGGTGGGATCACATCTGTTACTGGACAAGATCCCAGAAGGAGAGAAGGGAAGCTGCCCCCTTCTCACTCAGGATGTGGTTGTCTACTCATAGCTCGTCTTAATCCTGAATATCCTGAAACCTTCCAGAGATGTGCAGATCCACCCAGTGTCCACAGGCCCACATGAGTGTGGTCAGCTATCTCTCCTGTAGCTCCACCGGTCCTTCGGATAGACAAAGAATGTTCTGTTTGTGTCATATGGATTATAGGTACTCAGCTAGGCTCAACTTGGTTTCAGATGATTCAAGTTGGCTCGGGCCAGTGGATGGGACAAGAGCCTTTTCTTTTTAGATATACATAAAATAAAATGTATAATTTTAACCAATTTTAGGTGGACAATTAAGTGGCATTAGGTGCATGCATACCACTATACAATCATCACCACCATCTGGCCACAGAACTTTTCATCATCCCCAGTGGAAGCTCTGTCTCCGTTAAACACTAACCCCATCCCCCTCAAATCCCACCAACCCCCAGTCTGCCTCCATCCCTGTAGGTTTAATTAGTGTAGGTACCTCACTTGCGTGAAATCATACAGGATTTGACTTTTTGTGAGGCTATTTTCACTCAGCACAGTGGCCTCAAGGTTCATCCCTGTTGTAGCATTTCCTTTCTTTTTAGGGCTGAATAATATTCCATTGTATTGTATGTAAAAGTCTTTCTTAGGTAACTGTAACTGTGGCTCAGAAGAGAAATCAATCTTCCCACAAATATTGATAAGAATGACCAAGCTGAGATCTCTGAATTTGTGCCAAGCAGCCCATATTTTAGGTGACTTAGAATCCTTTGGTTTAATTCCCTGTTTCATTTTTCCTGGCATTTAGAAAGGGGGTTGTACATTATATAAGATATAGGGCAAGAAAAACCTCGGGCAGCAAGTCCACTTCATGACATCTCCCGTGATTTGCAAATTCAACGTAACAAGAAAAACTCTAACCCACCACCACTCGTGTCTGGAGTAGGTTTTGAGGACCAGTGAATGACTACATTACCCCCCTCATTTCTTGAAGTTAACATTCACATTTCTAAAAGTGACCAGCATGCTGTGTTTTACATTCATGGATCCCCATGAATGAACAAATGAATGAATGAATGCAGAAGGGAATAAACAGATCACAGCAAGGAAGAGCATCTATTCTCAATGGCTTGCTTGGTGGCTCAGATGGTAAAGAATCTGCCTGCAATGCAGGAGATCCAGGTTCGAGAAGATCTGGGTTGGGAAGATCCCCTGGAGGAGGAAATAGCAACCCACTCCAGTATTCTTGTCTGGAGAATTCCACAGACAGAGGAGCCTGGGGGCAGGGGTGGTTACAGTCCATGGGGTCACACAGTTGGACGCGACTGAGCTGACACACACAGAGAAGGAAGAAGCAGCCTCAGTGGCCAGAATTCCCCAGAAGCACCCAGAGACCTGGCTCAGGTAGGAGTAGTTTGGGTCTGAGCCCATCTGAGGAAGGCCCTGGGGTGGGTGAGTCTTCAGCAGAGCATAACTGTCCACAGTCAGAGATCCAGAGGCTCCAAGAGTCAAGGTCAGGGACATGGGTCTCCCAGACCGCACCCGGGGCTGCTTTGAGGGGAAGCTTGAGACCCAAAGACTAAGAGGGAGGGGTCATGGGTGGGGCAGGGCTGCACCAGCAGTCAAAATGGGCAATGGAGGCAGAATCTGAGGCCATCTGCAAGTGTTTGGGCTGATGAAGAAGAGGACTGACCAAGGAGGGTAAACAGGCAATGCCGCCAACAGCAATGTCCCTCAAACTGATGTAGTGTCCCCCCAGCACCGTCCTGAGCCACAGACCCTTATCCAAAGTCTAGCTCAGGCTCTCTGACCTGTCCAGCCTGGCTGCACCCAGCACAGAGCAAGTGGCCAGCAGAGGGACAGACCCCACATTTGTGTCAGCACCAAGGACAGCGCATGGCCAGTTCAGTCACCATTCCTGAAGAGGACCATCTGTTTGCTGCTGGAACCAACCAGAGGGACCCGACAAACCCAGATCCAGGCATCCATTCACTCCAGCAGTCTGGGCCTGGGCTTGGTCTCAGGTGGAGAGACCAGCTTCTCTCCTGTGAAGGCTGACGGTGGTCCTAGCAGGGTCTGGAGTCCACTCTCGGTTCTGGGGCACCCTCCTGTGCCACACCCCTCTCTCAGCCTTTCTGAGCTGTGCTGAGTTCTCCTGAGTTGTCCATGGCATGCACTAATGCAGGACTGGGAACTATTCTTGGTTAGCTTCCTATCACCACAGGGCCATGTCTTTTTTAGTCACTGATTAGCACTGACCACGATCTGAGTGCTTTGGGGTGCAAACCCCGTGGCAAAGCCTCTGCCATGCTGTTCCATCTCCAAATCTCATGCTCGGCAATGTGGTCTTTCTCCCTGAACAGAAGCTGTTGCTATATATTCTCCTGTGGAGCCCTGCACTTTCTGGGGAATGTCATGAGAATAATGGATCCCCTGGGATGTGTCTCGAGTTCCTGGAACATGTAGGGGATGCTGATAGTGTTCAGGGATAGAAGATGCAAGGGGGCCAGTGCCCTGCCCCAGGCCTCCACCCAGTTCTCTGTTTCTGAAATCTGCCCTGGACACACTGCTGGCATATCCGTACCATTCAAGTCAAAGCAGTGCAATTCCAGCTCCACACATGGCAGGCACCCTCTTCCCTGGCACCTGTTCTTATAGATGTTGCCAAACCCATCCCCTCTGTCCCTTACACAGGAGCCTCTGCCCTGGCCATCCACCTGAGATGCTCAGGGCCTTCCCGACATCCTGCCCCTTAGCCTCCTCGAGGTTCCCAGCCCCCTGATGGCCCAGCTCTGTCCCTCTCACAGCACCATCCTCAAGCCAGGTCCTTCAGTTCCACTTGTCCTCCTGGCCTCGTCACAATCCCCGACCCCACGGTATTCTAAGGATACCCATGACCTCCAGGTTCAGCCCTGCCTGGTCAGCTAATTTCCCAAAGCCCCCCTCTAAGTCCCAGGGCCACCCTGCTTATGACCTACAAGGTAACCTGTCCCCAGGAAGCTGCCTGGGACTCGTGGGCTGGACGGGGCCTCTGCTAGGCTCCCAGTCCCACCCAGATGGACAGGGAGTCTCTCCCTCTAGAATGAGGTTCTCCATGCAAGCTCAAGTCATTTTCATCTCTTCACACCAGGGCCTAACATGTGGCAAGGGCAATTTTCTTGCGCCACATGGGAGGATTTGCAGATGCAGCCAGCCTAGGAGATCAGGAGTGGCCTTAGTGGGAGAGTAGGCTCAGAAGGAATGCCAGTTTGGAAACTCCAGAGCCACCCCCCTCATGGTGGGGGGGCTCCCCCACATCCGCTAATGCAGCAACAGTTTATATATATATACTATCTATATATCTACACTATATATACACACATATACACTATCATCTATAAGATGGATAGCTAGTGGGAAGCTGCTGTATAGCACAGGGAGCTCAGTTCAGGGCTCAGTGATGACCTAGAGGGGCGGGATGGAGGGGGGGAGGCTCAAGAGGGAGGGGACACATGTATTTGTATAGCTGATTCACTTTGCCGTACAGCTGAAACTAACACAACAATGTAAAGCAACTATCAGTTCAGTTCAGTTCAGTTCACTCAGTCGTGTCCGACTCTTTGCAACCCCATGAACCGCAGCATGCCAGGCCTCCCTGTCCATCACCAACTCCCAGAGTTCACCCAAACCCATGTCCATTGAGTCGGTGATGCCATCCAACCATCTCATCTTCTGTTGTCCCCTTCTCCTCCTGCCCTCAATCCTTCCCAGTGTCAGCAACTACATCCCAATAAAAAAATATATGAAAGCAATTCATTTTCATTTGTCCACAGAATTAGCCAAATAGAAGTTCCTTTACATGCATCTAATAATCACATCTTCTTTTTATATACACAAGGTTTTTTTTAAAGGCAGCTTTTCAAAAGTGTTTATTACAATATACACTTTACTTTGCTATAATTAAAAGAAAATATAGTTACACTTAAATCCACTGGCCTCATTAGCATGCATTTCTTCTCCATGTCTCTGTCAAAACTTCAAATAATTATTTGCAAAATGGTTATTTACAGCAAATTTCTGATTACACCAAGGCCCTCAGGCTTTCAGAGAAGTGTCACCAGATTCAACCGCCCCTGTGAAATGCACTCGAGTTGCTGCCCCTTGCCGCTGGGCTGTCCCAACAACTGGCCACAGCCGTCTGCACTTGCCGGCAGTACTAGATCCCTGTGACTGACCAAAACCACCCAGGGAGGCGCAATAGTCTCAGCAACCACACCCACACAAGCAGATCCAGAGCAAGCAGGGGAAGGAACCAAGCTCTGCTGGGGGCTGGGTGTCTGCTGGGAGCCCTGGCTGCCAATCAGCCTCAACAAGATTTCCTCGGCAATTGCTATGGCATCTGATGGGTGAACAGGAGTGGCTGGGAAGTCCACGCATAACTGAACACGTGGAGAGCTGGCTCGCATTCTGACCTGTGGGCTGCATGGACACCTTTGCTCTCAGCCCCTCCCTCTGCTTCCCCAGGGCCAGCCAGAAACTTACCTCCTCTTGGGGCCACTTGGGCCTCTCCTCCGGGGTCCTGGTCTTGGTCTTGAAGCTCCTCTGAGGGTCGGTGGGGTGCTTGGCCTCGGGAGGGAGGTTCAGCGACTTGGGCCTGCCCTCGTGTCTGCTGGGGCCACGGCTAGCCTCGGCCTGCGGGCAGGCCTCGGGGGAGTCCCTGGGCCCCGGCTCAGGCCCCCGAGGCGTGCGCTCGGGGCTGGCCTCGCCACCACTGGTGATGCTGCTCATGCTCAGGCTCATCTTGATCTCAGCCACAATCTGGTCGATGTCCTCCTCCTGGTCCTCTGGGTCCCCGTCCCTGCGCCTCGGGCAGTAGGGTGACGTGCTGCCTGCATTCCCATTGGCCTCGGCAGGGTAGTAGTCCTGGTAGGCCTCCTCGCCAGGACAGTAGTGGACACCCTCTTCCTGGTCCCGGGAGTCCAGGACCGAGGCCTCGTCCTCAGGGACAGAGAGGTGGCCGTCCCGGTAGCCAGGGCTGCCCGGGTCGCTGTGGCCATGTGCGTGCGGGCCCGTGGACTCCGTCCACTCCTCCACTGCTTCCTGGCACTCGTCTGTCTCCAGGTGGCGCGTGTCGTGAGTCAGGTAGCCCTGCCCGTCACAGTCCGTGCCCTGCAGGTAGCTGTCATCCTCGGGGCAGTAGCGAATGTAGTAGGTGATGCCCTCCTCCTCTTCAGGCAGCCCCTCATCGTAGTCCTCCTCCTCCGAGGTGTTGTTCACATAGTCGGAGCTGGAGTCCCCATCAGGGCTCTGGTCGGGGCCACCCTGCTCAGCAGGCGCTGGGCTCTCGGGCCGCAGGGCTGCCAGCTCCAGGTTGGTGGGCACGTACTCCTCCAGGGCCAGCTCCGCGTCCTCACTCTCGGGCTCTGGGCCCGGCCTCACCCTGTGGTCCAGCAGGCTGCTCGCCACGCTCTGACGCTTCCGGTGGGCCATGGTGGGGCTCATACGGCCATCGTCACCAGGAGGCAGCCACTGCAGGGAGGAAGGATGACAGGAGAGTCAGAACCTGGCCCGAGGAGCACGCCCAGGAGATGTAACTCGTGTCCATTCAGGTGACAGGACACCCCACCTCAGCTGACTCCGGTGTCAGGATCATTGCAAACCCTGCCAAAGAGACAGGAGGGCACCAGGGCTGGAGGAAGAAAAGGGGACCCTGGCGACTCCCCAGGGCACCTGCTGCTTCCCCCCAACTCGCCACTCACTCATGACTTCTTTGTTTTATATAATTGGAGTATAGCTGATTTACAATGTTGTGTTAGTTTCTGGTATACAGAAAAGTGAATCAGTTATACATGCATAAACATGTTTTTTTCAGATCCTTTTCCATCATAGGTTATCACAAGGTATTGAATATAGTTCCCTGTGCTATACAGCAGGTCATTGTTGATTATATACATTATATATAGTAGTGTGAATGTGTTAATTCCAAACTCCCAATTTATTCCTTTCCCAACCCTTTCCCCTTTGGTAACCATAGTTAATTTTCTCTGTCTGTGAGTCTGTTTCTGTTTTGTAAATAAATTCATTTACATCATTTTTTGGAGAAGGAAATGGCAACCCACTCTAGTATTCTTGCCTGGAGAATCCCACAGACAGAGGAGCCTGGCAGGTTACAGTCTACAGTCCATGGGGTTGCAAAGAGTCGGACAGGACTGAGCGACTAAGCACAGCACAGCACATTTGCAAGACAATTATGCGGCAATTAAAATATTTACAAAGAGTTTATTGCATAAAATATGCTGCTGTAATTATTCACCACCCAACAAACAGAATAAACTATGAAGAAATGCATTTAAATCCTAGCAGAGGTTTGATTTGAGGGATGTGACAGTGTTATTCACTTCCCTCCTTTATTCATTTTTGAATACGGTATTTCTGGGGCTTCCCAGGTGGTGCTAGTGGTAAATAACCCACCTGCCAATGCAGGAGACGTGGGTTCAATCCTTGAGTCGGGAAGATCCCCTGGAGGAGGGCATGGCAGCCCACTCCAGTATTCTTGCCTAGGAAATCCCATGGACAGAAAGCCTGGCACGTTATAGTCCACAGGGTCGAAAAGAGTCGGATACGACTGAGCAACTTTCACTTTCACTAAAGTGGCATTTACCTGTGTTGTGGGACACAGGAACACCTAAAGACCTTGCAAGCCCCCACTCCAGAGTCTCAACAAACCCAGTGGAGGCACCACCCAGGTGATCATTCACACCATCAATCCTTCATTCGTACCATCCTTCCTGCAATTCTCCCTAGGCTGTCTGCCAGTCCTGCCTCCCACCCAGAACGTTCTGTGACTTTCAGCGGGTGGGGGGGCCCACCCTCCAAGTGACTCACCCTCCAGTGACTCACCCTCCAGTGATGGCAGCTGGAAGGGTGTAAAGGAAACTCCAAAAGCTGAGATGAAACTCCTGAGATAAAGGGCAGGATGCTCCATCACTCTGTCAAATGATTATCTTCTGAATAAAAAATCTCTCTGGGGATTTCTTTGAATAGCCAGCCTTTCCTGGCTTATTCAAAATGATTTAACTCTACTTACATGTAACTTCCTTACAAACGTTTCCTCTGGGGGAAGCAGGAACTCTGGGGTATTTAGTGGGGTGGTGGGGGCGGAGGAGGGATTACAAAAGAGAAGATGCAGGAGTCACCTGTGGCAGCCCCCCTCTGGAGCACACCTGGGTTTCTGTACCCCTGAATTCCCCACACACAGGCTCCCTCGTCCTTGGCTGGGGAAGGGCTAGCCCCTGCTGACGGGCAGCTCTCCACCACCCCTGGGCTCAGCTGTGTCCTCCCCACTGTTGCTAACAGCGTGCATGACGATTCTCCTGGCAGGAGACCTGGCTGTGCGCACACACGTATTCACACACACACACACACACACACACACACCCTCCTCTTCACCCCCACCTCCCCGTCTCCTAGAAACCTAGAAACCTCTGACCCTAGAAAAGTCTGAGGAGGGGATACACTGCAGGTACTTAACAAATGAGGGCCCTGCCCTTGACTTCTCAAGACAAAAATTAAAAAGGATGCCCAGGCTGTCAGCTGGCGGTCGCTGATGTGTGGCTGGCAGCTGATGGAGAAGTGGGGGATGGGGTCCCCCTGTGCAGACTGAGTGAGGGATGAGGGACCGGGCAGCCTCTGGTAAGGATCGCCGGGCACTTCTCTAGCCTCCTGGGTCCTCACCTGCCCCAGAGGGTTCAGTTCAGTTCAGTCGCTCAGTCGTGTGGGGCCGGCACCAATTTGGGGGTGGGTTGGTGGTGCGGTCACCAGCAGTCTCTGGTCTTGGCCACCAGCTGAGGACAGAGATCCCAGAGCTGTCTTGGGTCCGGGGCAGGGACCCGCTCAGGGCCCAGTTGTTCATAGTCAGTCCCAAAGCCCTGGCCTTTTGTCCCCTTGTGGCATCTCTGGCCAGCTTTGCATTGGGCAGGTCCTTCACCAGTCAGTCCCCACACTTCAGAGCCTAGAGCTCAGAACTCCAGGCTCCGCCCTTGGAGCTTTTGATTCAGGACATCTGGGTAGGGCTGAGGGTATGCTTTGCTTCTCTTCTTTTTGACCAGTTGTTTATTTTCTCTCATTTTTCTGAGCAATTGTCTGATTTTTTTTATTAATTGAGGTATAGTTGCTTTACAGTGTTGCATTCATTTCTGTTGTACAATGTGAATCAGCTGTGAAAGTGTTAGTTGCTCAATTGTGTCCAACATCTTGTGACCCCATGGACTGTAGCCCCCCAGGCTCCTCTGTCTATGGGATTTCCCAGGCAAGAATATGGGGTCTTCCCAACCCAGGTCTTCTGCATTGCAGGTGGATTCTTAACTGTCTGAGCCACTGGGGAATCAGCTATATGTATACATATATCTCCTCCCTCTTGGACCTCTCCCCACCCCCTATCCCACCACTCTAGGTCATCACAGAGCAGCCAGCTGAGCTCCCTGTGCTATACAATAGCTTCCCACTAGCTATCCATTTTACACATGGTAGTATATATATGTTGATCCCAATCTCTCAATTCATCCCACCCTCCCCTTCCCTCATTGTGTCCACTCATCCATTCTCTACATCTGTGACTCTAACAGGTGTCAGAATTAGGCCGATGTTACTGGTCTGAGATCAAATGTGGACCACCACATTGGACAGGAAGTCAGCCACCTGCCCACCCTCCAGCCATCATATCTTTGAAATCAAGAATAAAAGTCCCAGGACTTCTTGGAAAAACAGGTTTGCAGGTTTCAGATCTGAGAGTCTAAACACAATTCATCATAGCTGCCTTGAGGCCCCCTGATGGCCGCCTCAGTTCAGTCTCCTTCCTGAACAGGGAAGAGAAAAGTGGATTTCAAGGCCAGATCAGAGCAGGATGGCTTGGATAAAGATGGAAAATGCTCCCTCCATTGGAGGAACTGGCAGGTCAGACCTCCTGTCACAGTAGCTACAGAGTGCCCACTGCCTGTGTTATGGTCGGGCACCTCTCTGAGGGTGCTGTCTAACCTCTCTGCAAGGCCCACTTCAAGGTGGAACAGGCTGCCAACCCAGGGTCCCTGACCTCGGGGCTCCAGATCTAGAGATGGAGCATGGAGAACAGAACAGTATTGTAGGTACTATCAATGGGAAGGCAGATTTTGTCTTGGGTAGCACAGGGCTCCCTTTGGGATGAAGAGTCTAAAGAGACAGATGGCTGATCTCTGAAAGTGAAGTTGTCCCAACACAACACTTTAAGCAACTATACTCCAGTAAAAATTTTCTTAACATGGCCATTATGAGCTGACAATGAGTTTGTGAAACTCACCATGTTTCCTCTCTGAGTAGGTATGTACATTGGTGGGCAAGGGAGACCCTAAAGAGAGAGAATACACCTGAATTTCAACAAGACACATGACAAGTCTTTCATAACTTTCCTGTGGCTCAAACTGAAGTATGCTGAGTTGGATATGGCAAAATGAGATGGATTAGTGGCCAACAGAGTGATCAGACTAAGAAGTCATCAATTCGTGGATAAGCATCCATCTGTGGGGATTTTCCAATGATCTGGTTATGTTCAACCAGGGATGATGATAACGAAGACTGCCGTTCTTCAGAACTGCAGTTGACAGAAACCTGGAAGACATGAAGTGTAGGGGTGGCAGAGACGAGGTTTAGCTATATCATGGAAGATCTTACATATCCTGCTCGATCCAGTTAAAGCTGTGCTTTCACAGCCAGACATGCTCACGTGAATCACAAGCTCAGCCCTGAAGCAGTGCTCTCTACAAGCCCACTCATAACAAGGCAGAGAGGCTTCATTTCTTCAAGGAAAAACCAAAATCTTGCACCAATAATTGCACTGGCCCTCTATCCCCAAGACTGAAAAGCCCATTTCACACAGTTCTCCCATCTGTTCCTTTCATCACAAGCTTATAATAAAGGCTATTTTCTTCAAGATCATTTTTTCCCTTGCCTTGAAGAGGAGGTGGAAGACAATCCTTTTATAGCCCCTGTGACAAAGGATAAGAATGAAGGAAAAGCAAAGAATGATTTATGACATATAATATATGCACTACAGGGACTTCCCTGGCAGTCCAGTGGTTAAGAGCTCATCTTCCAATGCAGGGGATACAGGTTCAATCCTTGGTAGGGGAGCTAAGATCCCACATGCCTCATGGCCAAAAAAAAAAAATCCAAAACATAAAAATAGAAGCAATATTATAACAAATTCAATAAAGACTTCAAAAGTGGTCCACATCAAATAAATAAACCTCTTGAAAAAATATAAATAGATAAATAAAATGTGATGCTGATGTATGGCTAGAAAGCATGTTTCAAGATATCATCACACATGACACAGTGGGGAGAATAAAAAATGTTGTGCCTGAGAAAGTCTACTTCTGATGATGGTGCACCAGCTTGTACCAGTCTAATTCCCGCACTAGTAACTACTAATAACTTTTGATGTGTGTGTGTGTTTTTTT